CAGCGGACACGGTTGACCCTGTGGTTTGGCCTTGGTTGACCCCCCCCCCCCCCACCCCCCCCCCCCCCCCCCCATTCGCGATAATATCCGTGTCTCACCTCCACCGAGCGCTCGTAAACGAGTAGATCGAACGTCTCGTCGAACCGGGGGTTGAGGGTCCGGTTCTTCACGTCGGTCTTCATCTCCTGGTCACGGCCCAGCTTCACGCACACGTACGGATCGGACTTGCCTGTGGCGATTGGGGTGGGGGGTGGGGGGATGAAGGAGGAGAGAGTCAACCAAGGACAAACTACAGGGTCAACCATGTCCGCCGGATGTCAACAATGACATCAATAACGACATCATCATCGTCATCATCAACAACAACAACAACGACTCCACAACGACATGAACATCATCAACAACAACAGCAGCAGCAGCAGTCAACCACAACTCACCGCCGATGTCGGCCGCGCGCAGCTTGTCGCACCCCACGATCGTGAGCTGCACCACTCCCGTCGGGGTTGGGTTTGATAACCCCTGTAGGAAGAGGCGAGCGTGCAAGAGAAGAGGCAATAAAACAAGCGCTTGAGATTTGCGTTAGACGGATCGATTTGGGTCTTCGCCCCCGTGCGTGTTTGGCGTACACTTCGTCATACACAACTCTTCCGGCTATAACATCGTCATCAACAGCCCATTTTCTATAAAGATCCGCTTGTTGCCCCCTTCCCCCCCTGTATGTGCTGCCACACTTGTTTTTCTTTCGGGGTACCTCCTCGCACACTCTGCAATTTTTGTCCCAAGGTTGGCGACTACCGGCTAGGACGAGGAAACGCGAGAAAGAAACCAACACCAACAAGAAACAACCACACACCAACACACAGACACACACGCGCGCACTCGGTGAAACTATCAATCAATCAATCAATCAATCAATTAAATCAAATCCGATCGGACTCACGAGGATGTCGAGCATTTCAACCACCAACACACACAAGAAAAACCGTGCACGCACTCTGCGAAACCACCAGCCAATCGAATCAACCAAAATCGATAATCAATCAACCAATCAAAGCAAAATCCGATAGCGTACTCACGACGATGTCCTGGTCGTCGAGGATGGGGACCACCATCTTGACGGGGAAAACCATGAGGCCGGTCACGATGTTCTTGATCGTGTCGCTCACCAAAGCGCCGACGTTCATGTCGCCCGGACCAATGCTCATGACCTGTCGCCGCCGCCACGCACATCAGTACGCATGCATCCGCCGCGTTTCTCGTGGCCAAGGGAGTGTGACCTCACGCACACCCTTACCCAACAATCTAGTACGTCGTTACTACGTCGGTATTTGCTACTTTACTGCTGTACCAACCGCAGGGAAAAAAACGTCCTCGACCGCGGCATGACCCATCAAAAACATGCTTCATGGCTGTCGACGTGATCATATCTGAACCTCACGTTAAGCTTGCCGAGCTTGAACTTGAAGTCGATGAATGGCTTCTCCATGAACGTCAGCACGACTGCATTCAAGACGGACAACGGGGCGAGGTACAGGTAGGGGATGGATGGGCATGCAAGGCAGTCGGGAGGGAGGAGTCGGGCGATCAGATCGGGCGGGCTCTATCATCATCGTCATTATCTACTACCACTGTAACATCGCAGGCTTCGTGTTCCGAGCATGGGGAGAGCAGGCATGCACTGCACACTGCACGCACCGTACGCCAAGTCCAAGACTGACCTATTCTCGGTGGCCAGCCGGATTGGATAGAATCGGATAGGATATGACATATCAGATGGTAACCAACCATTCACACAAACACACGTACGCAGACACGCAGGCACACAGAGGCGTTCTCCGTTCTTGGCCGCACTGAGACTGACATACTTGCATCGTTCAGCCGGTCACCGTAGTCGATGCTAAAAAAAACGCCCACACCTGACCAGAGAGTAGAGTGTGCTGGCGTTTTTTCTTCCCGCCAGAATACTGACGTCTTGTCATTGGTCAGGCCGTTGGCGCGCCCGATGGCAACAAAAGAACCCCACAACCTCACGGGGTCCCAGATCATGGCCTATAGAAGAACGTTCTGTTTTCAAACGCAACGTCTTTTCATTGGTCAGAACCCTGTTAGCGCGGTCGATCCTAACAATAAAATACACACACACACACACACACACCTGCCCCGAAGCAGGGGAAGACCGGCACGAGAGGAGCGAGCTCCACCCTCATCCTCCCGGAGAAGCAAATCTTGTTGAGGGTGATGAGGAGCGGGACGGGCTTGACGCCGGCCTCCAGCATGAACTCCGCGTTCCCGGCCCAACGGAGGTCGATGTCGATCACGGCCTTGTCTTCCTTCATCTCCAAAGCGCGGATGCCGACGACCTGAAAGCCCCCCCCCCCCCCCCAAAAAAAAAACAAAAAAATGTGCCCCCCCCCCCCCCCAAAGGAAAAAAAACAAAGGGAAAAAAATAGGGGGGGGGGGGTGGTCCCCCCTTTGAAGGGGGGGCTTCGGGGAACAAAAAATTCAAACTTTTGGGGGGGACCACCCCGGAAGAGGAAAAAAAAAAAACCAATTTTTTAAAAAAAAATAAAACCAATGTGGGGACCCCAAATGGGGGGGGGAAAT